CAATTTCTTTAGAAAATTGGTTTCTACCACGACGATTGTGAACCATCGCGATAACTTTTGAATTCTATCCAAAGAAGATGACTAAAGTCGTTACTAAAGTAAGACATATGTGCAGTTAGTTAAGAGGCTGTCTCTAGTGACGAGCAATTGCAAAAGTTTCTCCTCACTCTCGGAAAAATAATCAGCCGCAATTACAAATATATTCTTTTAAATGTCGAAATAAGTTTTTTATCTCAAATTATTAAATGTCTCTTTTGCTTTTTTAACAAGTCTTATCATAGTTTAATATAAATAAAAAAATAAAAAGAAAACGGTGTAAATAATGAAAGCATGAGGAAAGCTATATAGACTGTGGTGAAGGACGCGACACTGAGAAATGTAACTCATTTATTTTGAATAAAGCTCGATACCTTATTTTATCAAGGACACAAAAAACAGGGGAAAATGAATACCAATAGGATAATAAAATTTTCATTAGAATACTTACTTTGTAATGAATTATTCTACAATAAAAAATTTAAAAGTAAATTCGCGTTGTAATAAAATTTCGTTTATTAACTTTTGATCAGAAAAATTTTTATCACTTTTCATATAAATAGCAAGAAATTAAAATCTTCAATAATTAATTTCTCTTCAAATATATTGCGTTTAAATTTAATTGTAATTTTAAAGATAAAATTAAATTAGAAATTACAAAAAATGGAAATTTAATAATCTCTACCAATAAAATGACAAATATTCTTCTATATTTCAAAAAGTTTTTTCCATCTCATACAATCTATTAGTTCTCCTAGAAAGATATAACTGTTTCTCTAAGAAAAAAGAGTACCATTGATACTGCATGGTTGCGTCTTTTATATTTAAGTCTTGAAAATTACTGTCTCTTAAAAAAAAAATGACTACTTTATTACCTGTCTAAAATAAATAAGAAGGATGATACTAAGAAACAAGGAAATACAGTAAGTTAAATTAGATATATCTTGTTTTCATGCGGGATAAAGATTCGCTCGCACGTGCCTCTTCTATAGCACAGGTCTAAACTTTTAAAAGCCTATACGGAATATGTATAGTATTGACTGACGTATTTTTGGCAACGTATCCTTCCATCAGGAACGTAATCTCTGAGGCTACGTCGGCAAAACAGATTCAACCAGCTTTGCTTATATACGTGTGTAAGTTTTAGGGATATAAGGCTTACGATGTCACGCGGATACATACATATACGCACAGCCTGGAGTTTTGAATAACCTATCTTGTGTTGTACAAAGTAAAGCTCTTCCGAGATTAGTTTTACGGCATATATTAATATACTCTCCGATTCTTAACACACATCAAAAGATAAGATTATTATACATATCATATTTTTAATCCTCAAAAAGTGTATGTTCAATTTAATAAATTATATCAATTACGTTTATAGCTTGAATGTTATACGTATCTATTTCAGTGATTTATGGATAAATGACGTATATAGAAATATCATATTAACATTTGGAATTTTTATATTCTTCTAAAGAGAGGCAAAAGCAAAATCGTGAAAAATCTCAGTATCTCATATTTTTCTTTCATTTCGTATTCTTTTCTTTAAAAATAAATAAAATATGAAGAATATTGATAATAAAATATTATATGTATCTATATATATGAATGCAAATTTGGTAGCTGCATATAAATTTAGAATAACATATAAATACTATGTATTAAAATATATATATATTATTATAATATAGTAGAGAAAATGCATTATTATTATTATATTTTCAGATATAAAAGATTCAACTGATAACGAAATATTCTTTTTCTCGAAGAGAAAATTAGATACATGTTTCTAGAGAAACTAACGAAATGACACAGAAAAAGCTTTCAAGAATAGGTATTCCAGAATATTTGTAACTTTACTAGAATTTTTATATTTTTAATTTCTGCATTTTTTTATTTAACTTTTTGTCGTCAAAATTATTGTTAATGTCTGAAAAAGAGTTATTACAAATTTTAATACCGACACAAGTTCAAAATAATGAAATTTTTTATTATAGTAGCGTAATATATATAGCGTACTTTGATTACACTTGAATATATTTGCACGCATATATATACAAAATCGATATAGATTGTAATTAACTAATTGCTCATTGTTATCCATAATTTCCCCAACTTTCCGTTCAAACGTCTATAAATTATTGCGACAAAGCATGAGTGTTGCCTTTGATGTGTAAAAACGTCAATTCCAGTTTCACGCGGATTTCCATCTACCACGTCTCTCTTGCAACTCTAGTGCCGATATAATTCAGAATCAAATGAACTATATATATGGACGCAGATCGATAAAACGTTCATAAAGATTCACTCAGAAATGTACGGACAAGATAATCGTGGATAATCAATACAATTTCGCAAAACGTTTCCAATTTTGCGAAGTAAAACCGCGTGATATGTATTTCGTTTTTTCCACTTTCCTTCCGAAATTCTTTCCGGAGTTTAAACTCCATTTTATCCACTCTTTTCGCAAATAAAGTAACGTATCGATTTCCTATCCTAGAATGCATTGAACGTCAAAAAGCACAACTTTTACTGCTACCTATAGGAACAAAATAGTTCACTATTCTAACTTCATTATACAAGTTTTAATTCCGTTCAACCAAGCGCGCCTACCTACCTCCCGTGGTACTTTTCGTACAATATGTAAGGCTTTATGTTAGAAATTACCGTCATGAAGTTTCTCCCGATTCCTTATTCCACAGCCTCTGTGGTTATCAAAAAATATACACAACTACGTAAAGGAAAAGAAGGGAGAGTAAGAGAGAGAAAAAGAGAGGAAGAAAAAGTGATGTACCGACGCATCTACATCTAATTATTTATTCATTAGATTCTTCATCAAATATCGAAATCCGCCTCCGCAAAATTATTATATCCTTCGTCAACTTCGTAATCCTATCTACATCTTTGAGACAACGCAGAACCTGAGACAAATCCCTAAGATTTTATGGATAAATCTTGTTTTTCTCTGATTTCATATTTCAAAGACTTGTGTTTTGTGCATCATGTCCTATAATACGATTTATAATTTTTCTTATATAAATTCTTCGATCACAGATTAAATAAAACGAATTATACACGTTGGCAAAGCATGTAATTAATGTATGCATAATTTAAAATAATATTGGGCTTTGTATCAATCTCGTGTCATGTAAATTTTGTAATTTTCATTTGTGCAATTATTTATAACATATAAGGTCATTTTAATTAAAAGTAGACGGTAATATTCATATGTATGTAGCAATATCTACGCGGATAGATAATAATAATAGAATCGTGTTAAAATAATAATAAACGTATAAAACGACTATCTATTGTAGGAATGGTATGCCAATAGTCTGAAAGAGTAAATATATAATTGTTTGATATCCCCAATGCGCCGTAACAATAAGAACTATTTTAGTAAAATCCCTATAAATCATGCAGTGGATCAACGATAATTGAGGAGACAGAGGAATAAAACTTTAATTAAGCTTTTTCATACGTTAGTCTGTGTCAAATTAAGTTTACTTTATGCTTATGTACAGAGATAAAAATCCATATAGGGTATTGCAAAATATGTGAAAAATAAATCTTTATATAGCAAAAAATGTTAAAGCTGATGAAAATTCATTTATAAATAATAATCAAAGGATTTAATTATTAATAAACGTCCATAAACCTCGATAAATATCTTTTTCCAGTTTTAATTAGTTTCCAATGAGAGGTTCAATTAGGATCCTCAATGCAAATTAAAATGTGCAATTTGAGAGTTCAATCGTGAATTCAAAACTAGAACAGTAGGAACAATAGCGTTCTCGTGTGTATTCATTTAATAAAATGCATACCTTTGTCTTTGAGGAAAAGTATTATGCATGAATGAGACATTTCGAAAGAATGCTTAATAATATAAGAACATAAAAGCAAGGTTGCAAATCAAGAGAAGTAACGAGTCACAGAACTTTCTAGTAATAAAATGTGAAACATTGACCGTAAAATAGGTAATAATCAGGCAAACAAGTCGCGCACTATAAAGTCAATGCTCATCTCTCGACCTCGTAACCTCGGTGAATCATTTCAACGAAATTATTTTACTTCGACAAAGTAAAAGATCGAATTACTAGCAACCGTTATAAACTTTATAATGAAAAAAAATATCGTTGTATTTAAAAAACGAGTAAAAAAAATATGTTTATGGAGCACGATTAAAAATATATTAGCACGTGTATTCGGATTGTGTTATTAAGCGTAATCCTGCTTTTTATAAAATAATCATAGAATAAATCCCTTTTTTATTTACATTTCGTGACAAGTGAAACAATTGTGGCTTACAGCAATGCATGGGTTCTGTTAAAATAACTGAAATTCAACAGCAATATTAGTAAATTATAAAGATAAATTACACAAATTTTGCACACCCGATAGAAACCTTGTGGAAATAAATTTTTCCACAACCAATCAGGAGAGAAAGACAAAGATCTCTGTAAATCTCGAGTAAGAAACCTTTCTTTCTCCGATTCAATTCTGCGTTTTTCTTCTGGTAATACAATACGTGTCGACGGATCGTATTCACAGCTACAAAAGTATACCCTATGTGTATATGTATGTATAATATATAAGAAAATATAGACACACATACATATATACACACAAGTACGCACACATATAGGCAATAAGATATAGACAATTGCGCAGGCGTCACCGCCGGTGAGCTTTTTGCGGCGAGATAACTCTAGAGGAGGGAATTTCACAAGAGAGAAACGCGCACCGACAGTTGGCGCCGAGCTGTTCTCGCGTGATCTCCGTTGACTTGTCTCTACTTCAAGCATTCCGCGATGTAACGACGCTTTCCGTTTACGACTTACGATCGACCGTGATGTAAGAAACTGCGCCCGTTGGAACTCCGCCGGATAAAAATTATCGTGTTCCGAACCGCCACGAAAGGATCGGACACAGTCGTCGTTTCTAAATTTCGCGCGAAGATCCATGTGCTCGCAGCATGGCTATCATGCAGTCTTGTTGCTGCTGGCAGTCTGTACGGAGAGGCAGCTACGCCTGTGCCATTTACACCACCGTGAGTATACCGTGATTTATCTTGAATGCTTGCAAAAACAATTATGGTGAGAATTATGAGCAAAAATGAATAAGAATTAAATTTTCTACTGCGCTCTATTTTCCGTACCTTTAGTGAATGACATGAATCTCTTTACGCTCCCTTTTTCTCTCTGAGTATTTTAGAAAAATTGCATATTAAAGTTCTGAATATTTTAGAAAATCTTCACGTGTAAGCTATTCTTCATATACATTTATTTTAATATAAAATAATATCAAAGAGTTTTAACCTTTTATACCAATTTTAAACATACGAAATGAAATTTTACATTGGTTTTCTTTCAATAATTTAGAAAATTAATAGTTTTTTGTGTATGTCTTGCTTCATTGTATGATAATTGAAAATTTTACTTTTTATAAAGCTCGTGAAAGAATAATTAGCAAATTACTGACAGCGCTTTTTAAAGTAGATACATTTATCCATATACGGATCATTCATATCTCAATGAGAGCATCAATATTTTAATATTTAACAATAATCACTTCTGCCATTGTTTCGCGCAATAATTTGTGTCCGATAAGAATGATAATAGCTTTGTATACACCTTTAATGATTGAATCCTACACTCTTATTTTCGAACCGTCAGAAACAAGTAGTACGAATCAATAATAAATCGTACGTTTTCCAGTTATGATTAATAGACTTTAGTAATATAAAATATCAGATTTTTTTCTCTCTTCGTATAAGTAAACAAAAAAATAGAAAGTCATTACAATAAAGCACTCGTTCTTTTTTTTTTTAATATTGTTTTATCGTCAATATTTTTTATACAAGCACATGTATGTCGCGTTGCAATGGTGAATACGATATGCGGTTTTGTAACACAATTCGGTAAAAATTTTGCAAGTATAATTTATGCATAATATTACCGCAACATCAAACCATCTATAGCAAACCATCTACTAAACTAAATATAATAGTACATATACTATCGTTAATACTTAAAAGATATTTGTAAAGTTATATATTAAAAAAGAAAGTTGTATGTAAACTCATTACTAATTATAATCGATAAAATGAGAGAAATGTCTTGTTTCATACACCTAATTGCTGCTTATCAACGAGAAGCACTCATAAAGTACAACGAAACTGAATTATACGTATAAGTCCTACACTGCAGTTATAGTTATATGAGTAACCTGACGTCAACTAATGCTTGAAATCCCGCAAGTTTCCAAACAAATATGTCTGTGATATATTTCCAAGACATCACAAGCATGCAAAGAAATGAAAGATCAATAAAGATGAAAATAGAAAATGCGTTCTAATCATATATGTTTCAAAAATACCTCCTCAACGTTGTTTTTCAAATCTTTTTTATTAAATATATTTTAAAATTTTTAATCAAGATGTTCCTCTCTCATAAACAGGTCAAAATACTACACGAGTTAATCTTTGATAGACTATAAACAATTATAAAATGTTAAATTACATTTTACTACTTTATATAACTGAACAAACTTGCACACACGCGCTTTTCTACGACTTCGTACTTGTGTAAAGTTGGATTTCCAACGATACGATGATAGAAATCACAAAACTAAATTTCGAAATAAACTGCAGATATCAAATTTCTTGCAATTGAAAATGACTCGTGTTCAATATCAACATCAAAGCTATCACTCTAAAAAAATGTAGACGTGAATTTAATACACCATGCAATGTTTATATAATTCTCACCGTGTTGACGTTAATATTAATGGTGTGAATATTTAAAACTCTTTTATATTATCAATATCAACACGGTAAAAATTATGTAAACATCGCATAATGTTAAATCTATATTCATATTTTTTAAAGTACATTATAACAGAAGCAACAAGGACATTCTTCACACATACCTCATTATGTATGTGAGAAATAAATTTGTAACATTATATTCGATAAAAAATTAAAGTAGGAGGAGTAAAAAGATACATAAATAAATCATTAATTTGTTCCTCTTCTCCATCGCTTTTTCATATTTACTAAAGCTAGATAAATTGCGAACGTTTTTAAAAGTGTGTCAGAATCCTGTATATATAAGTTTGGGAAGCCTGATTTAAATGACCAGGCTTCAACAGTAAAGAGGAAATCATTTTATATTTATGAAAAATTATTTATCGGTCCGCAATTGTTGTTTACTTGTTAACCGATACATGCTTAATTTTTTCCATTAACAAAGTACAACGAAAATTAATCAAATTTGTATTGAAACGGAATAACAAATTGTGCAAGGCAGTAAATTAATGTGTGTAAAACATAATATTTAAAATGTAAAACTACACAATTAAAATATATGAAAGTCTAATGACAACAATTATTTTTCCCGTAATATATGATAAATAAATAAAAAAATATTCTACGCGTATTATTTCTCACGTAATAAAATAAAATATTATATAAAGAAAAATAACATTTACGACTAATTATTATTAAAACGGAATATCTTAGAACAATTTCTAAGATATTTAGGATGAAATACGCGACAGTACAAGGCAGCAGATAATTTAGAATATTTAAATTATAGTTGCCATGTTAGATGTGAATACAATGCGTCCTATCGGACATGTCATTATTAATGCAATCAGCAGTCTATTAATAATAATATGGAACATTTCATCGTGCAAGACATGTACTCCAGTTGCACCATTAAATCAAGTAATAGCTATTGATCAACACATTCTCTTCAGCACGAATCAATCTAGTCAAAATGTATGAATATCTATGAAGCGCTACTTCATGTATATGTAGATATGTATATATGCGTGTATATTCTTTTTAAACGCACTTTTATGCGCAACAGATTTTTCGGACGGTCTTCCGTGAGAAACTAATGGAACAATCGAAGGGAAAAAAATAAAAGCAACGTTATTTTGCAATATCGTTGAAAGCTTTCGATTGTGAAGAGAATCGCTACAATACTCGAAAACTTTTTCACTTTTCAAACATTGCAACGTTATTGCAATTTCCGTTTTCGAAAGAAAAAAAAAGATTATCTCATAAAAAGTTGAATCGATAATGTACGTAAGTTTTTTTCATTCTAACATTATTAATTTATGTAAAAACATGCTTCGATTTTTCGCCTAAATAAATTGGAAAAAGTGAGTCTGATTGCATTAGTTGAAATTCTGATTAAAAATAAACAAATTAAAAGTTTGTAATTAAATTTATCCTAATTCTAGTCAAGATAACTAGAATTCTGATTTATATGAGTTTTTGTCATGTTCGTCTATTTTCAACCAAAAGTTTTTCTCCACGGAAAGAACAGTTTTGTTGAAATATCTAAAAATTTAGTTAGATACAGATCTGAAAATAACTTTATCGAATTATTAAAATAATTATGTAGGACACTCAAACTCTAGTTGGTAGAATATCGAAACTTTTTGTCGGTCTAACATTAATCATCATGCGTGATGAGATTTCTAAGTAATTATTTTGATGGTCCAACTGCGATAAAAATATATACGTACGTTATAACCGCGAGAATGTGTCAAGTCACGCGATTGATTAATAATTTGTGACCGATTAATAAATTTAGTAGACCTGGATGGTCCGTCTTGAGCCAATCTGCAAAGATGTTTAGTAATTTATTGTGGGAATTTTTACTGAAGTATTAATTCAAGTTTAATGCAATTTTTATTATTTCAAAAGCTTAAAATAATATTTAATAAAATTGTTTAACATTAAAGTTTATTTTCTGTTATATTAAAATAGTATTAGTTGCACCATAATAACATAAATGTTAATAAACATATAATTTTTGTACAAAGTAATATGTAAGAAAAATATGAGTAAAATTTCAGGTTTAAATATGATCAAGTTCGTCCGAATCTATAATAATTAACAGTTAGTCGTCGTTTTTCCGCATTAGTCTAATTAACGCGTTACTGTTGAAAATGTCACGCATCTGTGCTTCTGCGACTTTTGATATATTGGCGAACATGAGCTCAACGCAAAATTTTTCGTCGAGAATACTTTCAGGCTGAAAAGATTAAATGGCGGAATGCGGGGGAGGAAGGTCGTGATCGTGATTTATTAGATAAACAAATTTCCCGAGGGTTTATAGTCAGAATTCGTTTCCTGTCGAGGGACGTTTGCTCACAGATAGGGTGCACACGACCGAAGTACGAAACTTGCTTACACGGCACAGTATTAATTAACATTGCGACGAGTCGTAGTAAGCGTATCACACAGTTCGCCCTGAATTAAATGTAAAATCAGATGACATATTATATCGTTGTACTACGTCACGTCGCGTAAAATGTTACGCCAGAATGTGATTTAATATTTTCGCGATCGTAAGCAGCAGGAGAGTTGGCGATGACGCCATTGTGAATAGATGTTAAAATCGAACATGTCGAAAAAGTCATTTGCAGAGGCAGATGAAAACGTCAGTTTTTGTTCCGCGAAGATATAATTTCTTTTATTTTGACATTCATTCACGCGATGGAAATTAAAAAAACATAAACGTTAAGGACGATAAATCGCAAGGAAAACTGTGAATCAACGTTAAAATCGAACATGTCAAAAAAGTCATTTGCAGAAGCAGACGAAAGCGTCAATTTCCGTTCTGCAAAGATATAACTTTTTGCTTTGAGATTCATTTATGCGATGAAAACCAAAAAAAGAGAAAAAAAAGTTAAAGGTGGTGAACCACCAGAAAAACTATGAATAAACGTTAAAATCGAACATGTCAAAAGTCATTCACGAAAGCAACGTCACGTCCGTTGTGTAGAGTTATAATTTCCCATGACGTAGGTACCTATATTAATTTACGCGGTAAAAGCTAAAAGTTAAGGATAATAAACCGCCACCAAGAAGACTGTGAATAAATATTAAAAGCAATATTTGCGAAAGCATCGATTTCCGTATCGCAAAGATACATAATCTCTTGACGTATGTATATTAATTTACGCAATAAAATAAAAAAATAGGTAAAAAATTAAAGGCGGATAAAAAATAAGCTACCGGGAAAATTC